TTTTTTTTTCAGCTAGCAGCATCTTCTACAGTTCCAGACATCTGTGGTTACTTGGCTCCCTTTGCAGCTTGCAGAGGCATCAGTATTGTGTCACATCGTCTGGTTACATCTTCGCAACTCAGCTGGCAGCAAAGCAGGTGCAACTTCCAAAATGTAAAGCTTGCATGACATGCATTTATCAGAAATTTTCTATTCTGCAGCCCTCTGTTTCCACAATTCTGGACATCTGGGAAGTAGTGAACAGTGACCTATATGATGAGGGACCATGAAACAAAAGTTCAACAGGAAAGAAGTACTGTCTACTGTGCCCTTTTTGTGAGCTTACTCAGAAAACAGTCTTATTTCTGAGCCAGTGCCTGCTACACCCTTCTGCCAAAGGATGTCTCTGCAGAAAACAGAAGGCCAATGTTGTGGTGTTTAATGAAGCTGGAGATCAAGTAGCCATTTTGAAATGTCCAAGTGGCTGCATTTGTTCATTATGTCTATGAGGTTGCTAGAGATCTCATGGACTGCTCCTCAATTCCTTTTTGGGACAGCAACCTCTCATTTGTAGGCTTCCAAGCTACGTAGTATAACTCATCTAGCGATGGAGGATTTGGAAGCTTTGAGTCTCTGGCTTTTCAGGAATATTTACAGCTTGACCACTCTCAGCTCTAAGAAGTTTATGCTGTGAGTCTGCAAACCCTGATCTGTTAAGGTCCCCAAGTGAGCTCCCCAGCCTTCCAGGCTGGCATTGATTGCAGGAACTAAAGAGTCTGTTGTGCACTAACCACCACTGTAAGGAGCTGAACACCTGCCTTCAAACCTGTACTTACCTTTCATGTATTCTGTGCAATGATCCTATACCCTTAACATGAAGGCTTGAAGACTTCTGATATGTGATTGAGCCCCTGGAGTGATGCACACCACCAAAGTGTCCTGGTAGTTGAAGGCATCACTGTGGAAGGCCTCATGTGGCTCTGGAGCAAAAAAAAATTAATTTCTGTATTGAACAGGAGAGCTTTTCTTGGCATTGATGATGAAGCTATGCACTTGAAGATTCTACATCCAAGATGTGTTTTTTTTGTGCTATTGGTTAGATGGGTCACTGATCATGATGCCAGTCCAAGGGAGTATATGTGAGTTGCTTGCAACCTGAGTCCCTTTGAAGATGCGAATGGCTGATATCCTCATGTGGCTCTCCACAGTGAAGGTGATGGAAGGGAAGCAGGAGAAGCTTGCTTTCTTTGGGAACACTGACTCCTAATTCAGAAGATGAAAAATTTGGTTCTGAATCAGGTTGTTCAATGATGGAAGCTGAGTGACTGGATGAAGGACAGGTGATGTAGAGCCCCCAGCTCCATGAAAAATTCCTGACTTGCTTTCTTGTTGATTCACTTGTCTGGTCAGTGAAAACCATTTATTTAGGAAATGGGAAATTCTGCCTCCTAGATTCAATTCTGGTTGCAGGCCTCTGAAGTCTGACATGAAGTGAATTGGGCAGTGGGGGCTGAAACTTCCCCTCACCCACAGACCTTCAGTCTTCTGTTTTTCCATGGGGAATCTGCTGGTACCTCTGTGCTGATAGAGTGAAAGAAACATCTCTGTTTGAAAGCCAGCCTCTATTCTCTTCTGAGAGTACTTAGTGGGGCAGGGAGGGACTCTCTGTTTGAAAGCCAGCCTCTATTCTCTTCTGAGAGCACTTAGTGGGGCACTTAGTGTTTGGATCTTGCTGTATGGTCAGCCTTCACCTTATCCTGCTTTTCCTCAAAAATGAGGAAACTGATCAGAGGACTTGCTTAGAGTGACTACAGTAAAACTCCGATAGTATGGCATCCAACTGTTTGGCATGCCCGATACTCCGGCATCAAAATGCCAAGCGCTCCTGACCAGCTGATTAAAAAGCCTGCCGCTCAGCACACATGCTGGCTGTAACCAGAGGGAGCATAAGGTTGTGGGGGGGAAGGGGGAGTGGCACATGTGCTGGCTGTAACCAGATGGAGCATAAGGTTGGGGGGCGAGGGGGATTGTGTTACAGTATGGAGAAGAGCGTTTTGCTTCAGCGAAGGAGAAAGGGGAGGGGAGGGGAGAGGGAGGAGGATCAGGTTACAGCACAGAGGAGATGCAAAGAGGAAAGGGGAGGGGAGAGGGAGGGAGATTGTGTCCTGGCCAGCTGTTAAACCCTGCAACTGTACCGGACCTCCCAATTCTCCAGCAAATCTGATAATCCGGTACCACCTAGGTCCAAAAGGTGCCAGATTATCGGAAGTCTACTGTATTTACAAAGCTGTAAGGGGTGTCTGGCTGCTAAACTGGAAGCCATGAAGTCAGCTGAGGACCTTACATCCATTGAGGTATCAGCTACAAATTCTGTCGCTAGGGAACCTTTTTTAAACTGCAGCCAAAGTTGGGGTGATCTCGCTGCTCAAGGACTTTGAGATCTTCTAGACAGGGAAGAGATACTCAGGCATTGCAGGTAAACCTGGGAAACAGAGTGGTAGAGGAGGCTTAAAGTCCATCTTGAGAGTGGCCTCCATCTTTATATCTGTGGGTTCCTTGCAGGGGAGGGAACTTCTCCTTTCTTATCAGAGGGTCTTTGATTCTTGGCTAGTCGTAGAGCCTGAGATTGCTCTTGTATTATGCTTCCCATTGTTCCATTTATCCCTAATCATTTCCTCAAAGGAGGAGTGAAGGAGTATAGTAGTGTCGGGAGACTGAGAGAAGAAATGTACTCTAAAGCTTACTCACAGGAGCCTCCTCAGGTTTGAGAGCCACACAGCTCTCATAATCATTTCCTCAAAGGAGGAGTGAAGGGGTATAGTAGTGTTCTACAAATTCTGTCGCTAGGGAACCTTTTTTAAACTGCAGCCAAAGTTGGGGTGATCTCGCTGCTCAAGGACTTTGAGATCTTCTAGACAGGGAAGAGATACTCCGGCATTGCAGGTAAACCTGGGAAACAGAGTGGTAGAGGAGGCTTAAGGTCCATCTTGAGAGTGGCCTCCATCTTTATATCTGTGGGTTCCTTGCAGGGGAGGGAACTTCTCCTTTCTTATCAGAGGGTCTTTGATTCTTGGCTAGTCGTAGAGCCTGAGATTGCTCTTGTATTATGCTTCCCATTGTTCCATTTATCCCTAATCATTTCCTCAAAGGAGGAGTGAAGGGGTATAGTAGTGTTGGGAGACTGGGGGTATGTCTACACTACCCCGCTAGTTCGGAATAGCGGGGGAAGCCTAGGGGTGGGGGAGCGCCCGAAGTTGCTTCCTGCCCTACCTCCGCACTGCAAGGAGCACGCGGCACTCCAAAGTGCTATGCACTCCTTGCAGGGCAGGAGGAGGCTTTGTGTGCTCCCCCAGGCCAATCAGGGCCATGCACTCCTCCCGGGGTGGAGAAGACAGAGGAAACTTGGCTTGTTCCTCCGGGGAGCGTGTGACGTCTCCTCCCACCTTGCGAGGGGTTCATAGCACTTAGAAGTGCAGCGTGCTCCTCACGGGGCGGGAGGAAATTTTGTGCACTCCCCCACCCACAGGCCTCAATTGACTTGGGGGCAGGGGAGCAGCAGAGCCTCCATGGGCCGGATCAACCCATTTGGCGGGCCGGTTCTGACCTGCAGAGGCCCTTTTGCCTGCTCTAAGCAGTACCCACAGAGACAGGCGTTGTTTGCAGCATAGCAATGCTGAACCCAGTGTTGTCTCTGGCATGCTGAGTAATGGCACAGTGAGATGTAAACAGTGGGGACTGAGGACCATATTGCAGCTCTGTAGAAATCCTGGATTGGCCTGTGTGCTAGAAAAGCTGCTGAAGAAGCCTGAGCCCTTGAGTGGACTCCAACAATTTTTGGTGGATGGACCTTTGCCAGCTTGTACCAGGACTGCATGTGCAAGGTGATCTAGTTGGAAAGCTCCTGTGCAGACCCTGGCAGGCCTTTCATTATTTTGGCTTAGTGCTATGTCAATCTACGGAAATGCTTGGTTCATTCCTGATAAAAATCCAAGGCCCTCCAGATGTTCAGTGTATGGAGATGTCTTTCCTTTGCAATTTTTTTGAGGCTTGGGACACAAGATAGGCAGGAATATGTACTGGTTAACATGGAAGGCAGAAACTTCTTTTGGCGGGAAGTCCACAGCTGAACCTTTTTCTTATAGAAGACAGTGTATGGTGGCTCCAAGGTGAGAACTCTGATCCCTGAGACATGGCTTGCCAATACCACTGCCATCAGGAACACTGCTTTCCAGGACAGGTGAGAGAGAGAGCAGGAACTGCATTGTTTGAAAGGTGGCCCTGTGAGCCAGGAGAGGACCAGGTTGAGTTTCCGTTGCCCAACAGGGTCTTGGACTTGTGGGTAAAGTCACTTGAGGCCCCAGAGAAATTTCACTATCATATCACAGGAGACCATCTGTCTCTGGATCTGGTCATGAAAAATGAAGATAGCTGCAAGATCCGCTCTAAGGCTACGTCTACACTGCAATAGTTATTCCGAAATAGCATGTCTGCACTGCAAGGAAGCCTCAAAATTAGTCCGAGGCAGGCTTCCCTAATGTAGAAGTGCTATCTCGATTTAGAGCCCCAGGAGAAATAACTTAGAATGGTCCTGATGAGGGGCTATTTCAAAATAGCAGAAGAGGAGAGTCTACACACACCTTATTTCAAAATAGCTATTTTGGAATAGGTGTTATTCATAGAATGAGGTTTATAGAAGTCAGGATAAGCCAACCGTTATTTCAAAATTATTTCAAAATAACAGAATTGCTGTGTAGACTCTCCCATAGTTATTTTGGAATAACAGCTGCTATTCTGAATTAACTTTGCTGTGTAGACACATCCTAATAGAAGACTGCACCAGCCCTGGTTCCCTAACCTGCAGCAAGTAGTTCCAATGCAAAGTAACTTCTTTTCCAAGTGGAAATGTTGGGCAAGCATGGAATAAGTACGATAACAGAAGGAAGTGAGGATAAAGTCCAATTCCCGTTGACCTTGTAGCCTTATTTGACTTCAGGCCAGAGTCCAGGAGAATAGATTTTTTGCACACGAATATATATTGGTCCCTTCTGCTTTATCACATCTGGGCTATGTCTACATTGGCTGAGCAAGTTACAGCACTATAAAGCACAAGAAACTATTAGGTCCTCCCCTTGTGGAGGTAGTTTACATAGAGTGAAGGAAGAACACTCTCCTAGTATTCTTGCCATGGCCCCACATTCACTTTAAACCAGTGCCACAGCTGCGCTTTAATTTTAGACATGGATAGGATAATCAGAATCTCATTCACTTTCCTCCCCTAAATTCTGAACATTTGGGAGAGGGAACACAAGGTCAGTTTGCTATCTGCTTGATCCTTCTTTCTATACCAGCCTAGTAAGCAAACACCAGCCAGAGAGTCTTTAAAGATGCTAATTTTCAATTAAATCTTTTTGTTTAGGCAGGCATAGAATGGGATTAGCTGTGTTTTGTCCTCCTCATTCAAAAGCTGAAAGGCTTTAAATTAAGTTTGTTTAAAGTTTGTATACTGACTTTGAAGAGCTAACAGTACAAAAACGACACCTGGTAGCAGCCAGAGTCCCACACAAGGCCCAGAGTCTTATCAAATGTCTGTGTCAAAGGTTCCCAGATGATCTCCCAGTAGATTTTACTATAGAATTTCTTCAATTTTTTTAATTCATATCACTCTCAGATATAGAGAGAAAAGATGACAAATGCTTATCTATTTGAATGTACCAAGTTATCATTGAATCCAGTGCAATAGTGTTTCCCAAATATTGAAACTGCGTATTTGTCACTAATGACCTCTAACTGTATAGAGAATGTTCCTTCTTTCTCCTAGCAAGAGTCAAAAATGTCCTCTCATCAACCATGACTCAGGAGCATTGAAAATGAAAACATCAGGTCTTTGAATTATGATTCATTCATGACTGTCACAGCTAAAGCTGGAGAGGAAATTGTTTGAAGAATTGAGTGCAGTGAGTAGAATATACATATTTATGTAAAATTAGCACATACATAAGGTTTGACTTTATAATTTTATTTGTCATATTTAATTCATACTTAGACTTTTAGGCTTCTCATAACATTACTCTGACCCTGGTGGTAAGGGGAATTTCTTTGCCCTCTTTGCAGGCTGGTTTTGCACTTAAGCATTAGGAGCCCTTCAGGCAGTCTGACCAGAACAGAGAGAGGTGAGGACTCCATTTCTTATCTGGGCTACATCATCACTTATAGGGAGGTAATTGAAAAATCACGAATCTTGTTTTTAATGGGAAAAGCCTGGAGAGGTGTCTTGATTGTTTTCTACAATATTTACAGCTGTGATCGAATCCTGAGGAAGCAGACAGCCATCCTTCTAGGATCCTGGGGCCATCCCGCGGGCTATTTCTCACAGTCAACGTCTTTGTGCCATGCTCCTCCTCCTTGGTGAATGGGTCCCCAGACCAGGATGAGCCATGTGCTATCTCCCTCCTGTAAACAGCAACCCAGTGTGGGTAAAGCAGTTGCCTCAGAGACTTCCTTTCAAAAGACCCCACAGAAAATAAGATTAAGGATACACTACATAGGTATGTCAGACTCAACGACAGCCATACAAACCAAAAACTTGTCCTGTAATTGATAAAGAAAACCAAGTAGGTAGCAAGCAAGTGGGCTTATCAACTAGAGCTGTCATCTTTGCCTGTAATGGGAAGTGTCTGGATTCTGTTTGTCAGATTCTGGCTATGACTTGTGGTGATCTATTGCTTCTAGCTTAATGTACTGTAAGTACTGTTAGGTAAGTAACCGTTTGGTTTTTGTTTAATTCCCAGTATGTAATGAGTTCTATATGCGTAATATGTACATTAGCCCTCCACTAGTTATACTTGTGTATTTATAGTGTGTTCTGAGTTCTCTACGTTTGTATAAATGAACTGAGAGTTGAAGCAGAAAATCCATGTAGAAACAGCACATAGAAAAAGAAATTAATAATTTGACTGCAAGATCGAGCTAGATTAGTTCTCTATCCAGTAATGTATATACCATATAGTTTAATACTGTTAAATGTTCAATATACAGGTAGGACCTCTCTGGTTTGGCCATTTGTAAAATGAGTGCTTTTTTCCTTTGGAATACTTTTCATGATTTGCATTGCATGTCAGGATAGTGAATACAAGTTTACTGGATGAGGAACCTGGAACAGAGGGAACTTGAAGTAACATCTCTCATTTTATACTTTGGGCTTGTCTTCATTACTGGCTGGATTGATGGGCAAAGATTGTTCCAGAAGTCTAGAACAATTCATTGAGTCTAGTATAGATGTGACAAATCAGCAGCTGATTGCTCTTCCATCGACTCCAGTACTCCACCTCAATAGGAAGTACAAGGTGAGTCAACGGGACAGTGTCTTCTGTCAATGCACCGCAGTGAAGTCACCGTGGTAAGCAAAGCTAAGTACATTGATTTTAGCTATACTAATCATGTAGCTTAAGTTATGTAATTTAGATTGATCTTCCCTATGTAGTGTAGATTTGCCCATAAAGTAATAATGATTTTGAGCACTCTATTATGATTTTTCTCCTTGCCAAAGCTTGTTGAATTGGGGGCCTGGTTTCCTCGATTAGCTAAAAATAAAAATATATCTAAATTTAAATTGAGCTTTTTTCCCCGTTGGCTTATTAGCTAGGTACGTTTGGACCTCTTTTCTGTGGTGACACTTGGTTTTAATGGACCCACTAGTCTTGGCGCACAGAGTACAATTTTCCTTTAACGTCAATTGGAGATGAAAATTGTTTATACACTACTATTCTGCTGGCACAAGATTGTTTCCACAGAATACATTATCATGTGCTGGTCAATATAGTTTGAAAACTGCAAATAATGGCATTTCCACTATTTTTCTTCAAGAAATATATTCTGCATTGTACTAGAGCTCAGCAAAGTTAGGCCCTGTTCTGCAAAATGCTCCATGTGGATGGACTCTTATTGAGGTAAATGATGGTCTGAACCTAAGGCCATGTCTTCACTAAGCAGAAGACTGACACTGCTGTGATTGATCTTCTGAAGTTCAATATAGTGGGTTTAGTAAAGACCCATTAAGTTGAGCTCACAGGGTGCTCTTGTCAGTGGCTGGTACTCCTGGTCCTGTGAGGAGTAAGGAAAGCCAACTCCCACTGTAGGGACAGCGGGAAAACTTGAAACAAGATAATTAACATAGCTGAAGTTGTATATCTCGATTCAACCTTCCCCTTCAGTGTTGACCTGGCATATTTCTCAATCCAGGAAATCAGTCACCTTTATTTTTGTGCCAGAATCAGTAGTACTAGACCAAGAATCATTCTAGCAATGTTAAGGACTAGTTGACTATCCGATAAGCAAATACTTATTGGATAGGCAACAGAATAGTTGACTAGTCACTTCCCCTGCCCTACTGTTGCCTCTATCAGATAGAATTATGTGGTCCTCTAGGGAGGAACAATGCCACCCTATTGACCAATCGAATAGTCGATGCAAAAATGCATCAACTATTCGATTAGTGAATTACATACTACTTCACATCCTTAATCCATGCTAGAATTTGAATTTTCCCAGTGAGTTACATTACCCGCCCACAGTACTGTGAAGATGTCGAGTTTTAGCTGAGGAATGGAATCTGAAAGCTAAATGTTGCCTTTGAATCACTTATTCTTTCTGAAAGTATCAGAATGGACTGACTGCACTATTCAGTATTTCTTTTTAGGGATTGAGCCCTACTCGTCAAAATGGCTTGAAGAAGAAGATGATGAATGTATATACTTTGTATTTCTTTTTTAAGTTTAAATTTAAAAGTTTGGCTTGATTTTTGCCTTGGGGGGTTGTCTGCTTGTCTGATCCAAATGACAATTGGTTTTAATTCATGCCTTCATTTGCTTCAGTTCAGTTTGCATGTAGAGGAATCACAAGGAATCATAAGGAATATCAAGTCTTCCCTCCTTTGTTTTGCTGGACCTTTTCAGGGAGGATGGTGGCAATGATGTAGACCAAGCATGGGGAATATTTTTGCAGTCCAGTGCTGTTGACCCATAGAAAAATCAGTTAGGGCTGCATGAAAGTGAGAAGCTACCCCCCCCCCCACACACACACACACTCTCACTCTCACTCTCACTCTCACTCTCACTCTCACTCTCACTCTCACTCTCACTCTCACTCTCACTCTCACTCTCACTCTCACTCTCACTCTCACTCTCACTCTCACTCTCACTCTCACTCTCACTCTCACTCTCACTCTCACTCTCACTCTCACTCTCACTCTCACTCTCACTCTCACTCTCACTCTCACTCAGATGGAGCCAAAAATTAGGAATGGAGTGTGTAGGAGTGGGCTGCTGGGAAGCCTGCTTGTGGGGTCTGGGTGGGAGGGGAGTTGCAGGGCTGGAGCATCAGGTCCCCAGTGCTGGAGAGGGAGCCCCAAGCCTTGGGGGGATGGATCCAGCTCCTGGCTTACAGGTTTCTCACCCCTGATCTAGACTGAAAACATGTTCAGCCTTTCATTGAAGGGGGAGAAGTGTTAAACCATTGACAAAAGGACTTTCTACAACCATCAAGCATTTGTATTAAATAAATGTACAGTGTGATGACTAAGTTCAGGATGTTCCCTAATAGTGATATTAGGTCTATAAAATCTAACAGTTCCCAATTATGGTCCCCAGTCAATAAGTTTTGCATAAGGCACGCCAATATAATTAGATGATCTTACTGTTATCTTCATTCCTCTTTCTCCTTCCCACTCTCCTCCTTACAGTGTGTGATAACATACATTTGTAATATCATGCTTCAGTTTAGGCCCCAGTCCTGAAAGGGTTACAGTGTGTGATAACATACATTTGTAGCATCATGCTTCAGTTTAGACCCCAGTCCTGAAAGGCGCTCTTTAAAGATGGACCCCTGAATCTGCTGGTAGCCCTCACTTCAGTTCATGAGGTGCTCATGCACCCAGAAGGAGCTCCATCCTACATCAGGGCCCTACATTGTAAGCCTTGATAGAGCCTAGCAAACAGGATCCTGATATGGAGTATATTGGGGCCAGTGAATAACAATAATACAAGATCCACACAAATATACCTTTCACAACCTCTAAGAAAGCACTGCAGGTCCAAGTGAAATTTGCTTGAAAACTGATTTTTATTTAGACTGATGAAAAAGCTATTTTTTATTTTTATTAACCTGTTATTTGTCACCTATATACAAGGATTCTGTTTGGAGTAAAGATCTTTAGATCAACCCTTATGACAAGATGAATAAGAGGTCATCTTGTCATAAGGGTTGATCTAAAGAAGAGATATCTGTAATTCAAATTATTTTAATTTATGAGAAATTATACAGGAAATGGAACAAAATAGTAGAAAGCAAAATGGTGGTGCAGTAAACATAGCTAAATAGGTTTTATATTTGTGTAGTATGCAAGCAATGCTGGTTCAGATTCTTATACAGCCTTGAGGATCTATGGCTCGGACTCAATACAATGACATATTTGTGCACAAAAGGTTTTAAACCACTTTAATCAACTGTAAATTGGTGTTCACAAAGATACATTCCCCAGCATCCTTCCCACATAAAGGACACCACAATGGTAACTGTTTCTCTGTGTCAGTTTCTTTGCTTTATTATTAGTATAAGACAATGAAGCAGAACTTATTTCCTTTCTTTAGTTAATTGTTGGTATTTTTCCTTACAAGTGTTTGTCACAATCTACTATGGTAATGAACTGAATATTACTTCAATGATACCCAAAAAGACACTTTAAAATGCATTCATCAGCTTATGTTAAATTTTGCTCTAATTATGCCTGAATATATTTAAAAGCAAGGAACTTCAACTGCAGACTATTTTTAACATGAAAGTAATCCAGTAGTAACAATCTTAAACAATTAGAGGGGGCAGTTGTACAAGTTTGTTGCATAAAAATGTGATACTCACACACTGACTAAAAGGAGGAGTTGGAAATAACACCAACCCTGCAATTTGAAGAATATTTAGTATCTAATAATTCAAACAAACCCTATTAGTGCTCACTTCTGCTTTTGAAAATTACAATCAATAACTGGTGTTAAGTTTTTACACTACAATGTGTTTTTTTTCTTGGACACTTGATCAAATACCAAAATAATGGTCTGAAATATTTGTCTGGAGGAAAAATATTGACTAAAAAGTGTTATAACTTCTCATGACTTTGGCTCCCAATAATCAAAAAAATCTCCATGGATACAGGTGTCCACAGGAGATAAAATTGTGTCAGGATTTTTAGGCTTCAAACAGACTCTTTTTAAATTCTTACAATTTGTTGGGGAAGATTTTCAGAAACTAAAGAAATCCTATCAATCCATAGTTGAAACATTAAGAAAAGAGTTTAAAAAGAAAAAGAAGAAAAACAGATTTTGAATCCTGCACATGTACTTAACTTCATATACATGAAGAGTCTCACTGCACCCCAAAGGACTATTCACATGTAAAGGTCAACTTGTGCAACTGTCTGCAGGATCAGGGCTAAGTGATGTGCTACTTCCTACCTTTGCTACCAACTACTATTCCCAAAACTGTGATGAGATTGTTGGTGATGGGATATAAACACTATAGGGCTATGTCTAGACTACACGCCTTTTTCAAAAGATACTTTTGAAAAAGCCTCTTTCGAAAAACAGCGTCTAGACTACAACCAGTACTTTCGAAAAAGCAAGCTGCTTTTTCAAAAGACAGGCACCTAGGCAGTCTGGATGCTCTCTTTCGAAAAAGCACAGTTTGCATTACGTAGCACCTTTTTTCGAAAAAGCACTTTAGAAAAAAGGCATTCTTCATAAAACGAGCTTTTCTGCGGTCGACAAAACCGCCGCATTCCTTCGATTCACTGTTGACAGAATGCAGTGGCAGTCTAGAGACGCAGGTAAAGATTTTTCAAAAAAAGGCCTGGTTTTTCGAAAAAATGTCTGTAGTCTAGACACACCCTGGGTGTCTACACAGCACCAAAAGCTGAATTAAGCTATTTGAACTTAAACTACACAAATGACATAGCAGAAGTTGCAACGCTTATTCTGACTTCAGCCCTGATATGTAGACATACCCTATGGTATCACAGGTGCTCACCATATGGAATCAATGGAACTGTTATTAACAACCCTGTTAATTTCAGTTCCATTCCAGGCACAAAAAAGAAAAAAAGTCAATGTTTACTAAATGATAAGGAAATCAATGTTCAAAGCAAATTTATTTTTAAAGAATGATGCTATCATAAACAAAGCAAAGTCAAATCTACATATGCAGATCCTGCACGTGTAATTGAAGACAGATACCTTTCCACTATTTCTATTTGGAAATTTCTCTTAATCAAATTGCAGTTTGGCGTTATTCCTATCTAAAAATAAACCATGAAATCATTTTTAAGTAAATATTTCTTTGCTATCTGTAAGATGAATTAAGTATGAAAATGTTCAAAAGGAACACATCTTTTAAACAGCTTTCAGAAATTGATTTTAAGCTTTCTTTTTTTTAAAAAAAAAAGGAAACAACTGAATCTACAAGTTGGCTTTTTTTTAACATAAGACCTCCTATGGATTTGGCAAAGATTTTTTTTCTCCTTTTTCCTTATTACAGTAAGATGAAATTCCTGAATCAGAAAGAGTTCCATTAGTATACATAAAAAAGTAAGTATGCTGTTCCTTCAGTTTAAGGGAAATAAGTATGTCAATTTAGGATGAAAATGCTATTTTTTTTGCCAGCGAATAAAAAAACCCCCACACTTTTAAAGCTATATTTTGCAAAATGATACAAGAGGACTTTCAGTTAAACGAAAAACAATAAAGAATACTGCAAAATCCAATTTGTTAGGCACCGAGATCCAAATTTTAATTGAGGTTTTTGTAGACCAAATTACTAGCTTCTAAGAGAGCTCAGATCCACTGAAGCTATGCTGTATGTACCAGCTGAGCATCTAGAGCAGGAGTGGGGAACCTGCGGCCCCTGAGGTTCAGGATTCCCCGCTAGCATTGGGGAGACTGCACTAGCAATCCAGTCCCCTTCCTTCCCCCCCTGCCCATTATCCCACCGTGGAGCTGGAGCACACAAAACCTACTTGCCTGGGGGTCAGCAGCCCCAACCCAAAAAATGTTCTCCATTCCTGATCTAGAGTGTCTTAACATTTTGCGTCTCCTATGAAAAATAAAATATAGCTAATATTTAAAAACATTTTGCGTCTCCTATGAAAAATAAAATATAGCTAATCTTAAAAAAAGAGAGTCCCATCAAGTCAGGATTTCTCTAATAGCATATATAAGGCCACACTTTAATGACAATATTCACTTTTCCAGAGATAAAGATATAATTGTTTAGATGAATTCCTAGCTACATCACAACCATCATATGAAAGCTAAGAATTAGTTTATTTTAACACTGACAGTTTTATTTATTTTCAATGATATTTCACTACCAAGCATACAGCAGATATTAATCAATCTGAAACATGCTTTATACATTGATCTAAAAATTATCCATGATAGCTTGGATTTCAGTATCTCTTCTCCCCCATCTACTACTAAAGTAGGAACATGTTTACAGAACAAACAGCACAGGTCATTTTGCAATCACTCAAGAAATTCCTGCCGTTCACCATTTGTATTCTCAGATGGATAATTCTCATTGCTTTCGGCCTGACCAAATCTTATTCTCCCTTTAAAAAGTGCTAGTTGTAGTTGTGGTTGTCAGACGTCTTCCAATAAAAATCCTTGGGGAAGAGAATATACATGAATAAGCACTAATTTCATTTTAAAAAAGAACGTACAACATGTAAGGAATGCTTTTCCTCTTATCAGATTACTAGTCATGCAAATTACAGTAGCAGTTGTAGCATCTGCTATAGCTAAGATTGCAAGAGTTTCTGCTAAAAAAAAACACCTGCTTTCAGTTGCTCATGCTTTTGTACATTCTCCTATTCTTTCATTCACGTCAGATTTTAGAAATTAAATAACATGTTCAGTGTCAGCTGAGCTGTTTTACATAATACTCGCTTATCTGACTTAGTATTTTCATCAGTCACTTTTTATTATGTTCACTATTTTCCCACTCAATATTATTTCACTATATTATTTCCTGTATTTATTTGCCTCAGGTGAAAAAAATTACCACTATGAAAAGTAACCATTTTGACCATATTTAAACACAGCTGTTCATGAAGTTGTTACAAGTTGTGATCTTGTACTACTGTGTCCATAAGTGAGCTAGAATGTTGCAAGGTCAGAACAATTCTGGAAAGTCAAGTAATGAAGAATGTACAAATTTACAGTATTTTCGTTTTACCTCAAAGGAAAACTTCAGTGTGTTTCTATAATATCTTGATTGGTCAGGTATATATATTTTTATTTCTATAATCAGTGTTGTAGACTAATTTTAAGTGAGTTTTAACATGTATTTAAGATTTGAAGGAAAGTAAAGTTTGGTTTGGTTTTCAATTTTTTTAAGTTAGGTGGATGGGAACTGAAATTTGTACGTGAAATAGCTAATCTGCGCCCTGACATACATAGAAGGATATGTTCCTTTCAGATACTTCCCTTATCTGCACTCTGACCCTAACCAACTGGATTGGAGTGTGAACTGAGAAGAAAGAAGGACATCTCCATCAGGGAAGGAATATTGGTGCAAGAAACCCAATGAGATCATTGTAAACAGCACCAGCAAGTTGTTGAGCCTACTTCTTATCTCATGTTCAACAGTTTTATAATGGTGTCTCCTACAGTCCAGTAGGTTACCTAGTGCTGTTTTATGCTTATGAGATTACAAGACATTACCCAGTGGAATGAGTAAGCTGCACCGTATTTGTTATACTACAGTGGTTCTGCAACATCTGGCATCAATCTTCCTGGAATTTCCGAAGGCCTCCAAAAGTTTAGGATTTAGGGCAGAGACTGGGCAGATCAGAGAGAAAGGAAAGTGGGTTTTGGTCAGGAAGTAGATGATCCCCTGTTAGCTTAACAGAGATTCCTTGGGAAAGACGTGACAGTCCAGAATTGTATCACCTTTCCACAAAGCTCACTCCCCTAGTGAATCTTGCTGAGGTCTTAATGTGACTGGGCCTGGCCTCCCACAAATTCCCTGGCATCTGTAAGGATGCCTGGGGATCTTCTGGGTTTAGGGATGGTCCTAATGCACCCTCCACAGATAGGACAACCTTAGCCTCTGAATGGATGGAGTTGGGGGGGAATTGATCTCCCCCAGTCCCTTTCCTACAAGTGCAGTTGAAGTATAATTAGACACAATGCGAATATGAAGACCCCTTCCATTGTTTTTATAAAGGATCGCAATGTTTCAGAAACATGCAGAATAAAAACCACTGGCTTTTTCTCTCTTTAAAGTTAAAATCCATCCAACACAACAAAAATGGATAATTCTTAATTTCAGCTTCTGACAGTTCTCTAGGTAAGTCCTCAAGTAATGAACAACCACTGAAGACCCATGCGGCAATGTCACAGCCAACAAACAAGTAAGAAACTTGCAAAACATAAGATGTCTAGTCAGGTTTGCTTTTGTGATATAATAGCTTCAAAGTACAGGCAGCTGTACAGGCAGTCCCTGGGTTACGTACAAGATAGGGACTGTCGGTTTGTTCTTAAGTTGAATTTGTATGTAAGTCGGAACTGGTACATATTGTAGGGGAAACTCTAGCCAAACATTTCTCCAGAGCTCAGTTTTATTCTCCCACACCTCACTTCCCTCAGTCCTTTATTCTCAAGCTGAGGTGTCTGCTGAGAAAAGCCGCTCCGCGTCTCCCTGGTCTGCTGGGGGGAAGCAGCTAGTGCGGGGTTGCCTCACCCTGTTTGTAAGTAGGGATCCGATGTAAGTCGGATCCATGTAACCCGGGGACTGCCTGTAGTGGATACCGGTTAGTAAATAACTGGCCATGTGGCAAAATAGTTGTACCAATTATATGTGAGGCATGTGAAGAACTATAGATTGGAATGCCATTATTCAGATAGAAGAAAATTACAGTAGAAAGGGGGCAAAAAAAACTTACCCTAGACCTATAGCAAGCAAATGAGAGAGAAGCAGAGATGGAAGAAAAACCTTTAAAAATTCTGCTGAGAATATGCCCCCTTTCTTCATCATGCTTGTGTTTCTCATGCTGAGAGAGGCAGTACGCTTAGGGTGTTTGAAAAGAAATTCCCTATTTTAGGAGAGGAAAACAAACATGTTAGCAAATATACATTTACTACCATAAAAATAAAAGCCCCATTAGAGAAATGGCAGTTGCTGAGGATACTCACTTTGGTGGGATGTTCTCAGGCCTACTTGACCAATCCCATATCCAATCTGAATTTTTCTGCAAGAGCCTTTCTACTTCTTTTCTTCTTTCAAGAAAATCTTCTTCAGACTAAAATAAAGAGTCTCTATCAAACAGTGTAACTGGATGGTTAAGACTATGCAAACAACCATCACCATCCTTTTAGAAACCAAACTGACTTTACAAAATTTGGCTTTTCTCAACCTTATGCCCTTTCGGATTGTACTATCACAATGCAGCCCTCTCATCTGTCCCCCTTGCTAATTCTCAAGTTCACTTGCAGCATCCACATGTTTCTCTAACTCAGTGTACAGTGCCTTCTTTTCTTGTGGTGTGTTATAGAAATAAATTCATTAACACTTATGAACAGTTCAGATACTATAGTGGTGAGCACTATAGAAAAACCCATGAGGAAATCAATAATTCTGTCTTCAGAGCAGCATTTGAATAATATACAATAGGGATGTCAATGTATATCCATTTAAATGATTAACCAATAAGTCTATACTTATTGGTTAATCCAAACGACTACAAGCAGTTCCTTCTCCTTGCTGCCTCTACCAGTTTTTTAACCCATCTCCCTGTGCAGAGGAGTTCCACTTACCATCCTATGCTGCTGCCTCTGATATGGAGGCAGCAGCGCAGAGTCGCAGGGGGTTCCCCAGGAGTGAGGCTGAGTGACTGGCTGCCAGCCCCACTCTGGGGAGTATTTTAGTAACTGTTTAATTGCTAAAAATTGTGCAACTGCTATAATACACAATATCTAATATCCCTAATGGACAGTAAATAAAGCCTGAGTCCATTCACTGAACATTGAGGAAGAACAAAAATATTGAATAGTTGTTCATTTAAGTGTGCACTGAATTGAAGCAACAATGCTAGGGTGGGAGGAAAAATATGTAATCATGTCAGTGAAGGCTATGATAATGAATGTGCGCAGGGAAGTATATTAAAATTATAGAGAACTTTAATTCTGGCATTTCTAACTTTTAAAGGGCTTGAGTTTGCAATTTTACACTTTCAATGAAGGTTTTCTTTTGTGTGTAATATATATCGACAGCTCACTTATTTGAGAGAGTGTTTGCCTACATGGATAATTTAGTCAGTTTCTTGCAGGAGCTGCAGAGAAATTGGGTCTTTGGGAAAGACTTGAATGAGGAGAGGAAATGGCTGCAGAGACCACCTCAGAAGATAGGGATCAATGCAATCAAAACATGATTTACTGAGATGGATTAAGAGGAGAGAGAAAATGCCCATTAATTTTCTGTTTGTTAAATGCAATTATAGTGGCATTCTTTTTCAGATATAGAGAAAATGTAGCAGCATGAGAAATTATGTTGGAATAATTTTGCATATGCTATTGTGTATCCTTTGTACTTTTGGTAGTTGTTAGAGGTCTCTATTGAGACCATAGCCTTACCGTACTAAGGACTGTACAGACAGTCCCAGTCCTGAAGACATTTCAGTCTGACAGAGGACAAGAGAAAGAAAGTAGTACAGCTGGAAATCTGAGGCAGAGGAAGAGTGAATTGCCCAAGGTCACACAGGAAAACTGGCAGAAATGGAAAATGACCCCAGATCTCCTGAGTCCTTTACCACAAGGCCAACCCTCTTCTCAGTGATCTGTGTATATTTACACTGTTAGGGTAAAAAGTGCTATGTCACATAGGTTACAAATCATGCATACACAGTGTCAAGATGATGCTCTGACTGCAACTATACCAGTGTATACCACTTTGAGAAAGCTGTTAATGGGTCACTCCAGATTGTTTACTTAACAGCTCTGCAGCCATAGAGCCTCGCAACTCCCACTGGCTCTGGTTTTGCAGCTTCCCACAGCTCCCCTTAGCTGGAACCTCAGAAACACTGATCTAGACAGGTGTTTGAGACAAAGCAAGTTCCGGATAGGCAGCACATCCTTTTCTGAGGTTCTTTTGTACTTTTACAGGAATTATTTACCACACTTTATCTGTAGAAGAGCCTATAGACGAACATTTTAAAGATTAATAGCAAGTATCTAATAAGGGGATTGTGTGGACCTGTGATTCTAGCCTTGTTTCGGCAATGTGACAATACACAGTATGCATAATGTGACTCTCTGCTTCCAGTAAATGCCACTTTTTTATCCTGATTTACCAGCTGTATTGGTTGCTAGCAATCTTCACAGTATGTTCTGGCTTATTATCTAGCCCAGCGTTTCCCAAACTATGGGCTGTGGCCTAATATCGGAAAAAATACCGGGCCTCAGCATGGCTGCCAGGAAGGGAGCAGGGCAGGCGGGCTGGGAGGAGGTGTACATGTGGGGTAAACAGGCCACCGCCTCAGCATGGCTGCCAGGAAGGGAGCGGGGCACGGAGAGCTGGGAGGAGGTGTGCATGTGGGGTAAACAGGCCACTGAGAAGCAGGGTTGAGGGCAGCGAGGCTGTCCGGCAGAGATTGGGGGAGGGGGAGCAGAGTTGAGGGCAGCAGAGCTGTCTGGCGGAGATCTGGGCGGGCGGCGGAAGCAGGGCTGGATGGGGGAGATCAGGAGGAGGAGGACTGGAGAACCAGTCTCCGGAAGCAGGGCTGGATGGGGGAGATCAGGAGGAGGAGGACTGGAGAACCAGTCTCCGGAAGCAGGGCTGGATGGGGGAGATCAGGAGGAGGAGGACTGGAGAACCAGTCTCCGGAAGCAGGGCTGGATGGGGGCAGCGGGCTGGCCAGGGGATGGGACGGGAAGGGGAGAGATCGTGAGGAGGAAGACGGGAGAACCATCCACCGGAAGCATGGCTGGACGGGGGCAGTGGGACTTCCTAGGGCAGATCAGGAGGGGTGGTGGGCGAATCGGAAAGCGGGACTGACCCGGGCACATGCAGACCCGGGCACACAAGTGAGTCCAGCCCCGGAGATTCCATTTTGCCCTATTGCCCCCCGCTCCCTATACCCTCCCTCGAGTAGTTGCAAACTGCCTAGCTGGTGGACACATTCAGGCAGTGTGAGCACATCTACCAGCCAGGCAGTTCGCAGCTAAGGACTGATACGCCTAATTATAATAAAACGTACCTAATTAGAAAATACCAGACATTTTATATGTCTGGTAATTTCTCAATTTCTTTCCCAGACAAAACCTTCAAATACTGGACTGTCCAGTACAAAACCAGACACCTGGCAGCACTACCCTTCCTTCCACCCTCCCTCTTAGCCTGATACCCTATCCCGAATCTGCACCTGCTCCCACCTCCTGAAGTGCTCCTGGGGTGCCGGGTCTCCCAGTCCCTGGCCAAGGCTGGGTGGAGGATGCAGCCAGGTGAAACACTGAAATTTTTTTCATTCTTTTTTTTTTTTATATGCATTTATATTTTAGGGCTGCAAAAGACAGTACTGAAAAAAAAAATGGGTTCCAAGTAAAGTAAAAAGTTTGGGAAACCCTGATCTAGCCAGCTTTCTATCCATCTTACAGTCCATTTATCCAATCCATATTCCCTTAACTTGCTGGCAAGAATATTGTGGGAGACTGTATCAAAAGCTTTGCTAAAGCTGGCACTGGGGGCTTTGGAAGGACCAGAAACAACTTATTTGAATATTCATCATTTGCTTAATGAATATGCAAATATGCAAATGAATGTTACCAGTCCTCCAAAAGCTCATGGATGGATTTACTGGTCCCTGTGTCAAAAAGTTTGGGAGCCCCTGATCTAGCCCTTTCCTAATGATTCCCAACAATCACCTATTGGTGTAAGTCTGAGTGATGCAAGGGAGTGAGTCAAGTCAGGAAGAGGAACATTGCTGCTTTGTTCATCTGTATGACATCAGTGAAATACGGATGCTATTATTGTAATATCTAAGCACCTCATAAACTTTAATGGCTTTGATCCTCCTAACATCCCTGTGACGCAGTGACATATTATCCTTGTTTTATAGATGGGCAGTTGTGATAATGAGTAGATTGGGCAAAGTCTTACCTGATGTAGGCCGCTGTGCTGGCAATCAAACCAAGGTCTCCTGAGTCCCAGTCCCTGTAGCCTATCTACTGAACCATCCTTCCTAATCACTGTAAATTCAGAGGATGAACATTATGACCTCTCTGTATGGGACTTTCAAAGAGGCCTAAGGGAACCAGGTGCTAAACTGCCATTAAGACAATGGAAATTGAGCACCTAACACCTTTGAAAAACCCAGCTCATATGTTTTTTAGAAAAGTAATTAAGCAAGTCTGTGGCTTAGAACTGTCCATGTAGGGGCTGGCCCCTGCAAAGACTCAGGGTATGTCTACACTGCAATAAAACACCGTTGGTTGGCCCATGGTACCTGGCTCAGGCTGCAGAGCTATTCAACTGCAATGCAGACAGTTAGGCTGTGGTACCCTGTCACATCACATGGTCCCAGAGCCTGGGATTCAGCCAAAGCCCAAACCTCTACCCTGCAGTTTTGCAGCCCTGCAGCTTGAGTCCCAGAGCCCAACTTAGGTGAAACTGGCCAATGCAAGGGGGTGACAGTCAGGTAAGGAGGTGATTTCTGTCTTCTAGATCTGTATGATGTAAGTGAAATATGGACACTTATTATAATATCTTAGCATCTCGCAAGCTTTAATGGTCAGCCGTGGGTGCTATATTGCAGGGTATATCTACTCTTAAACCAGAGGTCTCAAATTCACAGTCTGCAGGGCCATATATGGGCCAGAACGTATTTGCAATCTGTCCCAGGAGATTCAGTGGCTGGGGAATGCAGGGTGGGCTTTTACTGCTGATGCTGACACCTCACACCAAGGCCCCCTAGTAATCCCCACTGGGTCCCTTGGGGGACTGGTTGAGGAGGTGCCTGGAGGGGGCAGAGTTTGGGGGGGACGGACGGGGACAGGGATAGGTTTGGATGTGTGTCTTCCCACCCCAGCCATTGAGTCTCCTGGGCTGGATTGTGAATATGCTCCTTCCTGTAGATGGCTGGGAGTTTGAGAGCCCTGCTTTAAACAGCTGAGGATCTTGACTCCAGGGAGAAATCACTTTTAATCTCAGAAGTAAAGTGACTTAATTGTTTAATCTTTGCAGGATCAGTCTCATCTTTTTCCATGTATATTTTCTTATGCTGGGCTTGGCCCCCTGATAGTCACAGACACATTCTCAAAGGAAGGGAGACTTAACTTTTACCTGAGAACTGTTCTTTTCTCCACTGCTGTGACTCTCCATTTCAGAAGCTCTATTATTGTCCTGGGGTGTCTGAGAACGAGGAGGGCTTTGTAAAGAGAAGCAAAAGAAGGGGACAAAAATCTCATTAAACTTTTCATGCTGATATTCAGTATACTGGTAACTAAGTGAGCAAACAAACTTCACTACTGGACAGCTACAGCATGGGCAACAAGAGCACAGGTTTCACTGGCACTAATGTGGCTCAACCCCGACCTAATGGAAATACCTCTAGGATTGCAACATAATCCATCCTCCATGCTCACTTGATTACAGCTGCAAAGAAGGAAGCCAGTTTATTGCATAGTATAAACCTTTTGCAAATATAAACATCTATATATGGAGTTACCGGATTTGAACCCACAGCTTAGGTCATAAATATAATTGGAGAAAAACAGGCAATAATGGCTTTAGGACTGTATTCAAACTAGCCACCTAGAAATAAGAGGCCCCACATTCCTTTGCCCATTCCACAAGTCTTCCAGTTCCTTCAATCAAATTAAACTTTATAGTGCAGATCCTCCACTGGTCTAAATTGTCACAGACCCAATTATATCAGTCAATTTATAAGAGCTGTCCCATATGGAAATTATTTTTAAGTGCTGCTACTAGAAAGCTCTATGGTCTGCACATTAGACAAAGCTAAATATTTTAGCAATTACCTAAGGACTTCCAAGTAAAATTTTTATCGTCCCTTTTTTACAGTTGCTTTTCCATGCAGCTAATAAAGTGGCATAGTGTCCACACGGACTGATCATACGGCCACCATGTGCAAGCCCAGGCTGTGAAAGCATCAGACTTTTTTATTAAAGCAGGAA